TTCTCCAAGTGAGAAGTGTCAATTGTCAATTGTCACCGCCAATTATCTAATTGCTTGCACTCTCATTGCTCCAATGGGATTGCTTACCTTTTTTGTTGGTACATGATTCACTTCCTTATTTTGCTCATGACCGTGAAACAGTAGACGTAATTTCGTAACAACGAAAGTTGTTCTGTGATGGAAAAAAATATAATAATCGATGATGTGTTCTGCTGTTCCACTAGAGCGATTCACTCACTTCCTGGGATTTGTTTTTGTTTGGTTTTTCTTTTTTCAGTGATTAATGGGAGATGCTGGGGTTCAGCGTTGCTGAAAGTCATGACACGATGATGACTTATCCTTGGATTATACGATGTTAAAAATGGGAAGTTCGCCGGTGACTCGTCGATACGAGTGAAAACTCGATTTTTGGTATTGTCTTTCTCCCCTCGTGTTGTTATGAGGTTTCCCCTTCCCACGAGGTAGCCTTTGCTTTTTGTTGAATACGCAGTTCTGTGGAACGCCATTGGATACACCTGGAGATTTTCAGGGCTCACCTGGAACTGTCGCTCCACCTGGAGGCAAAATCTCTGAGACAGTTGATAATATCGTGATCTCCAACATCTTGGAGATGTTGGATGAATGAACTTTTTGAAATCCTCTTCCTGTTTTCAAATCCAAAAGATTTACCGCCAAAAATACGAATTTTCAAACGAATGCTTTCGATGTATTTCGATATATTCCTTGAAAAACTGAATTACGATTTTTAAAAACCCCAATGGGATTTCACTAAAAGGAAAATAGATTTTATTGTTTATAGTTTTGTATTGGATAATGTTATTTAAATGTGTTTAATGTTTTTGGGTTTTTTAATGAATAATGGGATATCTGGAAAGAATGGAATTACTGGTATTGGATATATTTTCGAAATTTAAACTTAGAAGACGACTTGTTTCTGGGAAACTCAATTCTTTGAGTTATTGATTGTAATCCAGAAATACTGACTACATTGGTATTTTTTTTTGGTTTTAGTTACTGGAGATGCTGAAGTTCTACGCAAGATTTGAGATCAGTGAAGAGACTGGGGATCCTTTGACAGATCATGACATGAC